TGCTAATCAGTCCTTCAACAAAGCACCTATTGGCCATTGTGATTCCAAAAATCAAGGAAAATTCAAATATTAATACTTCAATTATAAATTTCATTAAGAAGAACACAGTATTTGAATTCGTTCCTTTCCACGTCTGGATCATACTACAACTCAGATCTTTTTCCACCGTTGTTTCTAACTTCATCAATAAAAACAACAATCATTGTAACAAAACTTGCTAAAGCTAACCGATCACTGTTTCATCAACAACTTGTTCTTAATCAGAAAACGGAAAATGAGATTATATTAGTTAAAGGATCCCTAGAAAAAAATCATGAGCTTATTGATCGCTGGTAAATGTATATGCTAAGACAAGCAAATTTGTGCAAGTGTACACAGTCGAATCAAGTAATAAAGGGTAAGTGAGTTATCGTCTCTCAGAGATTGGTAGGGTTTTGATGTTTTGCCAACTAGGTGTCACGAGCTAATCCCTAAATTCTTGTCAAAACACATAAATAATTAGTAATGGATTATATGAGCAGGTGTCAAAGTGTTGCTAAAGCAATAGAATATTATGAAGTGAGGTTGCAAAAAAGTTTGGTCGAGGCAAAGAAAATATGCAAAAATAACAAATAAAAATAGACAAGGCAAAGAAAAACGTTGATTCAAATAAATTCAGAATAACCTCACATATTCAGACTTTTCACAGCACTTAGGTTGGTCGTGGTATGGAGAAATTATTCTAAGTTTGGAAGGATTTGTTATGATATGCTTAGGCTGCCCGACAGGATCACTGAAGTATTCTAAGACGGTTACTATGACAATATTACTCATCGTGAACTACAACCCTTGATTTGTCAGAATGTTGTTGTAGTAATACCCCTCAACGTGAACTATAGTCGTTTTCTATCCTACTCAAGAGTTTATCCCTTTTAGTCGATTGAAACCCTCTCCTTATCTCTAAGACAAGCAGGTTAGAACATGTCATTAATGTTACTAGATTTTGGTGTTTTGGCTTAAAACGCCGCGATATGCATACCATTATTGGCGTTTCTATCAAAACGCTGTTGTAAGCGTTGCTACATACCTCATTCACTTTAATGGTTTTTAGCGGTGTTTTATCAAAATCGCCACTGTAGGTACATGACACTGTGGCGGTTCCAAAACGCCACTAAAATACTTTTTTTAGCGGCATTTTGCAAAAACGGCCACTATATATCTGTCTATTGCAGAGCTTTCCCACCAACGACACGAAATCTGTTATTTTGTGGTGTTTGTTCTAAAAACGCCACTAAAGGTATAAATTTACCGGCGCTTTTTCAAAAACGTCACTAAAATTGCCGCTATAAATCCATTTTGCTGTGATGGATTTAAAAACTTTGCTACTCTAAGTTGTACTGAATAAGAAAGGAAGAAATAAAAATACTTTTGAGAGGAAGATTTTATTGGCTAAATTGTTGCTGAGAAGAAGATAGTTACTCAAATTATAAATTTCATGGCACTTTTCTGGTCTCTTGAAGTCTTATGGTTACTTATCTTCAATTTTTCATTATTTTAAAGCGTTATATGAAAAATTTAACTGCTGCTATGAACTACGTATGATATCTGTGTGTTTTTATTGCAGGTGCTTGTTTGAATTTTTCTCTTTGTTTTGTTTTAGCTTAATTGTAAAGGTGGTGCCTGTACCATTATCGAAAACGTGTCGGTACTCTCCGAATTGTGGTAAAATAATGGCACTCTTTGAATCAGAAAGTGTTGCCTATGGTGGCATCAACACAGCAACACTCTTTGAATCAGAAAGTGTTGTCTATGGTGGCACCAACACAGCAGCACCGGCACAAGCACCGCAATCGCCGCAGCAGCACATGGAGTTAACACGGGATCAATCCAGCTTGTCCTTGAACAAACAGTGTTCTATTTTCTCGCTTACTCTCGACGAGATTCAACTAAAGAGTGGAAAGATTTTCGGGTCCATGAACATGGATGAATTCCTTGCCAACTTGTGGAATGTGGAGGAAAACCAGGCTCCGCCACAAGTTAACCAAAACGAACCTTGCAATGACAAAGGTAACAGCAACAATGAAGGCCAACCGACATTAGCACGGCATGGCTCTTTCTCGATCCCTACCCCACTTTGCAAGAAAACAGTGGATGAGGTTTGGTTCGAGATTCAAGAAGTGAATCACGAACCTCTTCAGCGCCAACAAGCATTCGGAGAGATGGCATTGGAGGATTTTCTCATCAAGGCCGGAGTATTCAAGAATCAGCATCTTCCCAACAAAAGAAGGCGACCCCGATGAAGACCAACGGCACAAGTTTAGCTGGGAACTATGGAATGGGGCATGGGATCAGATCTTCACAACAAAAAATGTTGACATCTATTCAAAATAATAGTGGAAACATGGTTGCAAACTTTGGAATGGGACATGTAATGGGGCTAGGATTCCCAGGCCACCAAATAGTTGCCAGCAACTTGGCAGCACCAGGCAATGGTTGCACAACAGCATACCCGATTTTCACACCGAGTAAAACCGTAATGGGTGAATCTTCCAATGTTGCTGGAACCGGAACCGGAACCGATCGTCTGTTACAGCCAGTCATGATACAGAACAAGAAGAGGATCATAGATGGTCCACTGGAGGTGGTAGTGGAAAGGAGACAAAGCCCGAAGATTAAGAATCGAGAGTCCGCAGCAAGATCTCGAGCGAGGAAACAGGTGAATACTTACTTCATATAAGTCGAAATACCACTATTAAATTTTGACTCTCATATTTCTTCGATTGCAGGCACATGCAGTGGAGCTGGAATTAGAGTTGAACCAACTCAAAGAGGTGAATGCAAAGCTTAAGCAGCTTGTGGTAAACAAATACTATCTTCTGGAAAAGTTCAAATTACTGTTATGTGTTCTTCAATGGCCTAAACTGTTTCTGGGTTTTTAACCATGTGCAGGAGGAAAACGAGCAAAGAAGAAAGCAAGAGGTAACTCTTAAACATGTTGCTGCCATGCATTTGGCATACTTATGTTCTATGAAAATTATCAAGAGGTAACTCGTATATATATATATATATATATATAGATGAACGCATTAAGAGGTTCTGAAAAGAAAACAGTCGAAATTACCAGGACAAAGGAAGGTTGTTGATAAGATGAGGACACTAAGGAGGACAGTGAGCTTGGGATGATGATCTGTTGAGAACAGAGAAATAGACAATCACAATATGCTTAGCACAAGCAGGCATAGCTTAGTTTATCTTACAAATGAAGTGTATATCTAAATAACTAGGAATATCTCCATATATTACTCACTTTTTCTGAAATTTTCTTTCTTGAAAGGATCATGTGAGCATATATATATATATATGAGTGTGTAGTAACAAGTACTTAAATTAATTAGGTTAAACTTCGATGCATTGAGAGGAAAAAATAGCTTTTTCTGGCTCCTTTTCTTTTTCTTTGCATTTTATTAACATCTTAGAAGCTTGATTTATTTTAAAATAAGGAAAATATTTCTTAATTTTTTTATGTGATAAAACTAGAAAAAGATATATGTACTATGGATCTATGGTGCTCAAAATGATTTAAAGCCTTGAATATTCAATAAAAGTAATTATGACATTGATTAGTATATAATACGCACAAAGTGACAATAACATCGAATAATTTAATTTATTAATAACGAGTTTTCTATTAAAAATTAGTAAATCTTTTTATTCTTATTATTAAACAAAATCATATATATAAACAGATATAAAAAAAATTGAGGTCCCAATTGTAAAATTTATAAGATTAAAAAGGTCAAAGTGTAATTTACTCAATCATTAGCATGCTATGACGGTCAAATCAAATAAATAAATTGAATTAAAATTCTTTTTATTACTTAAATTTAATTTTTTTAAATAATTATTAAAATTTTCAAATAATTTTAAATGATAATTGAATTTTATTGAACTATTATGAAATAATTATTAAATTTATTATAATAATCTTTTAACTTATTTAAATTTATCATTATTTTATAATAATTTAAAAATAATAATATTTTTATAATTTTTAAATTTTAATAATTTTAAAAATATTTTTTACATAATTTAATAAATAATTATATAATTAATTTAATAATAAAAATAGATCAACAAAAATAAATACAGAGTAGAGCTAAAAGTGATGAGGGCGTAATAGACTATTTAGTCTACGCCTAATAGAAATCTGATTATTATTACAGAATAACCACACCCGCTTTTCCTTTTTCCTTTTGCCCCGAGTATTTTCCTGAATTTGATCTTCGTTTTGCTGCTTTGATTCTCAGGTAATTCAATCTATAAACGCTCTAATTTCTTCTTCCCCCTTATTTTAACTTCAATTTCACTTGTTCTTTCCTCCAGTTATCTCTTTATCATGTTAGGGTTTTCATCTTAGTTTCCAAAATTTTCAATAATTTCATTCATCTTTTAAGTCTTACTTTCCTAGTTGCAAGTTGGAGAAGGTGAAGGAAGAGAAGCCGAATTCCTTTTTTGTTTTAATTTTTGCTCTTTCATTTGTAATTTTGGCTCAAAGGTAATTTAAATAGTCATTGTTTTCATCTCTTCATCTTTAGTTGTTGAAAAAATTAGCAAAAATGAGGAAAATAAATAAATAATTATTGCTTGCCATTATTTGTCATATATTTCTGGTTTTAAATTATGTTTTGTCTTGTGTGTAGTAAAGTTTTGTTATAAATTATATGTTTTAAAAGGATGATTGATACAATTTGCTAAGGCCCTGTTTGCTTGATGCTTTTGCTCAAAAAATGCCGAAAAGCTAAATCAAATGGTAAAAACTGAAAGAAATTTTTAATTGAATTAAGAATGATAAACGTAATCGTAGCTTTTAATTTTTCAAGCTTTCAAATGAAAAGGCAAGAATTAAACAGTTTGTAAGGGGGATAGGAGAATGAGTTACTTGGCTTTTGTGGGTAAGAGTCTTGCGTTCATGTTTGCAGATTTGGAAGTTCAAAGTCAGGAGATTGACATAGAGGAAGAAAATGTTAAGTTCTGGGAATAATTTAAGCCGAGGGAATGCTGGATTGCCCGCTGATATGCCACCATTGCTTCAGTGTTTGTCTTTGGAGCCGATTACATTGGGGAGTCAGAAATATACACGGACTGGAGAATTAAGCTGGGTTCTAGGTGTTCCTCTTCGAAGTAGGACATCAGAGGATCACTCTTTTGGAGTTCCACATGCCAAACTTTCCCCTCCTGTTGCAACTGAGGAGCTTAAGAACTTTAAGGAAAGTGTTCAAGATACTTTAAGAAAGGCCAGGTATAATTTTTTCCTCTGTATGGTTTCCTTCATGATTTAGTGTAGTGACTTCTTATTTGTAATTGCGTGACAATGGAATCTTAGGTAGGTGCTTTCACTGGAAACAGAATGGGTAAATAATAGCAACATGGTACCTGATTTTTATGGTGCATGCAATGCACATATAACATGGTGCACATGCGACATATTTTCTCTATGTGCAATGTAGATATCTCATCTTCAACTGTCCTTGCCACTTAGTATTTGTCTCCGGTGGAAGATATGAACTTGCTATTAATTCTAGTGCTTCTTCTCGCAGTTCATATTTCTGAGATAGTGCTTGTGCTTGTTTTCTCATTTTGTTTTTAAATATACATTTTCTTTCTATCAGGGATAGAGTGAAGAAGTTTCAGGAGTCTATTTCTAAATTGGAAATTTATAGAGAAGCCTTAGCCTCAAAGAAGCAGCAACGAAGTGATATTTCGAATGAGAGAACTAGTGGAGTAACCGTTGCAAAGATGGGAAGCCAGATTAATAGAAACACTCATGAAATAATGAACCGAAGATCAGAGGATAGGTCAAAGGGTGTGGGGCTCAACAAGCGTGTACGCACGTCATTTGCCGATTTACGGGTATTTCTCTATGATTGCTGGAATATAATTATACTTCAACCTATTTAGTCTTGGCATATATTCTTGAACAAAGAAAAATCAGTTGATCTTTCTTGAGCACCGAATAAAGTTTCCTGTTGTCTCTCAGTCATTTTATTTTGGTTGTAACCATAATTGAATGTTCTATTTAATTTCTTAAAAATCGGAAAATAAGCCAGAAACGTAACACATAGTTTGACTAGACCCTTTTCCCCCTTATTTTTAGCTTATGATTCATTAATTTTATTTCCCTTGTTTTCTCTGCCTTTATTTTTTTACCTAAGAACAGGCTGATAACAGGACTGCTGTGAATCCAAGGCAGCAGGGGGTAGTAGAAAAGGATGGTGATGTGCTTCCAACTGTTAATGGGGGTTTTGCTCAAACTGAAGAACAGATCCGCAGATTGCCAGGTGAAGGGTGGGAGGGAAAGATGAAAAGGAAACGCTCTGTTGCAGCTGTAGGAAATAGAATTGCCAATGCTGGTCGAGATATCAAACGAGCTAGTCAACCTAAGATGAGTTCTGAATCAAAGTTGCAGTCATGTGATACCTGGGTTTCAGGTGTTTGTATAGGATTGATCTTTTTCCCTAGTTTCTGATTTAATTGTGGATACATTGCTGATGAGGAAAAAGTAGCTTTTGTGGCTGTCTCTGGATGTGCTTTAATTCTTAATGATCAAACTGGCAGTGTTATAGTAATTGTTGAAAAAACATTCTGTTTTACTATTTAATGCTTATAGATTTTATGGTTGCAGTCGTCATTCATAATGTGGAACTTTGTGAATGTTTTTTTAGCATATGAAAGAAATATGGATGTTTTTAGATAAAATTGCTACACCATGTAGCATTATGATAATAATGCAAAATTTCTGCTTAATAAATTGTATTATATTTTGGACCCTTGCTCACAAGTTTTTTTTATTGTCAATAATAATTGACTTGGTGTTTCTATTTTACCTGCTTTTATTTCTAATATAGAGCATATGATTGTGATTGCTCGTTTGCTGGTATGACATTTTTAAATGTTTGACAAGACATTAATGAAATGAAGACATTTTTTGCGCATGTATCCTAAGATCTAGTTTCTGGAAATGGTTATCAAATTTAGACTTGAGGTTTATAAGATACAATTTACGCTGATCATATAATTTTTCAGCCATCAAATAAAGCTTTTATGTACGAGTCTTAAAACTGCTCCTGTTCATTGTTTTATGCATGCAGATCGAAATCTTCCCCTGGAGTTGGTGGAATTAACAGGTCACAAGGTTCATTTGAGGGTGCAGGTTCAGAGGCTAATACAGTACTCAGGAATGAATTGGAGAGTACATCTATTCCTCGGGATCATGCAGCTATGTTGGAACAGAGGGTTGCCATAGAAACAAATAATAAGTATGTTCCTTTACCATTTAATTTCTAGCAATATGTACTGTGGTCTGTGGGCGGGAACCTTGCATAATTAATGTTCATCAAAACTTGCATTTTACTTTTATGATGTGTGATTTTCTTTTAATGTTTTCTCCTCATTTATTATTGATATTTTTAATGGAAATGTTTGTTAGGGCAAGTCTTCAGGAGGACAATCAAGCAAGTGGCTCGAGTACAATGTTAAAAGGGAAGGTTTCTAGGGCACCAAGAACTGGGTCTATCATGGTGTTAGACTCATCTTCTAAAATACACCTCTCATCAGGAGCTTTGCAGGGTTGGGAACAGCCAACTCTAAATAAGATCCAAACTTCAGGTGTTGTGAACAATAAAAAACGTCCAGTGTCTATAGGTTCATCATCACATGCTATATCCCTGTGGGGTGGTCAGAGACCACATAAAATCTCACGAACAAGGAGAGCAAATTTAGTATCCCCTGTGGCTAATGCTGAAGCTCAGATTTCATCTCAAGGCTTTGCAACACCTAATTTTGGTGCTAGGGCATCTATTGGAGCTGGTGGATCTCTTCTTGGCAGAAGTGTAAGTAATGCTCCTCCAAATATTAAGCGGGAACTTGAGCATGTATCTTCTCCATTTGGGTTATCTGAGAGTGAAGAATCAGGGGCCGGAGATAACAAATCAAAAGAAAAAGGAATTGATACTTGCGAGGTTACTCTTCCTGCATCTCAGAAAGCTGAGGCTTTCTTTTTGCCCACAAGGAAGAATAAAATTACAAATGAAATTGGAGATGGAGTTCGAAGGCAAGGAAGGAATGGAAGAAGTGCATCACCCTTGACAAAACCAGGTGTACATCCTATAACGGAGAAGTCAGACAATCTTACAACGACCAAGCTAATTCAAAGTGCAAGACCATCTTCTGATAAAAATAGAAGGTTCTTATCTGGCTCTTAGTATTAAGTTGTTCATATGCCTTGTGGAAATCTGATGAATGAATCGTGAATTCTCTGGTTCAGTAGAACAGGTCGCCCACCTTCCAAAAAGCTGAAAGGTCGCAAGGCCTCAACTCGTGTTGCTTCGATGCTAAATAATGTTTCTTCAGATTTCACAGGTATTTGACTGCTTATTAGGTCGATGATACTAGCTGCATATATGTCAAACATAAAAGAGTATTGAATCTGTTGCGGCTGTTGGAAACCTAAATCTAATCATTTTGCATGGTTGTTACCTATCTTAGAGCTGTGCATCAATGGTGACTTTGATAACTCATCTCTTCTACATGACATCATCATTTTGACAAATATTTTGCTCTCAGTTTTATTTAATATGACACTTATCTACATGCATATTATTTGCACCTTTTGTGAACTGCCAAACTAGCTGAAACGTGGTTGAAAATCACTGAAAATTTCTGGTGTGTACACTTGATGATGATGTATTTGGGATGTCATTTTTCAGGTGAATCTGATGATGATGACCGTGATGAACTATTTGCAGCTGCCACTTCTGCACTGAAAGCTAGTGGTATGCATCTTTTCCAATTATTCAACTTCCCCCTCCCCACAAAATAAATAAATAAATGAATGAAATCAAATACCTTATGTTAATTGAACTTTTATTGGGGTATATATTTTATATTTCTTGTTTCTGTAGGTCTTGCTTGTTCTGGTCCTTTCTGGAAGAAAATGGGATCTATTTTTAATTCACTGAGCTCAGAGGACACATCTTATGTCAGGCAACAGGTACTATATGGCCAAACATTTTTATTATTCATTGAAACATTGGGGTTAGTTCATCACAGTTTCCTAAACTGCTGTTTTGATGTTGCATCAGCTAAGTTTGGCAGAAGAACTTGATGAGAGTTTGTCTCAAATTTTCGGAGATGGATTTGATGTTTTGGTAAGCTCCATCATCTTATGTTTCTAGTCCTAAAATCAGATCTATTTAATCAGCTATAAATATGAGCATGTTAATCTTAAAAGATGTAAGAAGAGAAGTGTAACTGGAAATTAAGTCGAACTTTGTTGGCTAAGGTTGATATAATTCCTCCATTACTCAGGGTGTTGCAGTGCAGAAAGATGCGCCCGTTTCTGTTGAAGAAGTGGCCAAAACTAATGCTGCAAGTGAAAGATTTGATATAAAAAGTTTGACAAGGTTACACCTTTATATCAAAGAGTTCTTTCTGCTTTGATTGAAGAAGATGAAAGTGAAGAAATTTACCACTGTAATGAAGTGAAGAACATGTCGCTTCACTATGCAAGTGATGATTCCCATTGTGGTTCATGCAACCTGATGGATGTTGAATTTAGAGATAGAGACAGAATTGAATCTGAAGTAGAGTCAAACCTAGATTTTCAGTGTCAGAAGAACTCTCTGTTAGACAGAGTGTCTGGTGATGTGAGTGTTGCATCAAACACATTTAGGAACTGCAGCATGTCTAATTCATTACATAGCAGTGAGCGGTGGCTGGGAGATGATGATTTATCACATATGGATACGGGCCCCATAAGTGAAATATGTTCAACTGACATGGGTCAGCTCCAACATAAGGAAATAAATGTTTCTGATAGTTCTTTTGACTGCCAGTATCAGTTGATGTGCATGGATGACAAGCTTTTGCTGGAGTTGAATAGTATTGGTATCAATCCCGATTCTTTGGTGAGTTTTTATGTTATGCTAAGATTGATTGGTTACTCTAAATAGTTTTCCTTCTTTCAGTTCCAGGAATACACACACAAACCTGTATGTTGGATGTCAAATTTTTGTGCTTCTATCTTGTATGATTAATTTTTATTTATTGCTTTTGCCTTTTCGCAGCCTGATTTGGCGGAAGGGGAGGAAGCAATAAATAAAAATGTGGTCGAACTTAATGAATGTCTCTATCAACAGGTTGTCACAAGTATCTTCAGTTTGGATTATTTGAAGCATATTTGACATTAGCCTGTTGCTATTACTAACCTAAAATCTATTTCTTTATGTGCTAAAATGAATCTCCTTTTGATATGAATAACATATTAAAATTTTATTTACCATCCTTTTTTTTACATTTTTATTATTTTTTCTTTTGCATATTTGAACACTTTTTTTTTGTTTCCCTTTTTGTATTGATTCTCAGATTTGGAAGAAGAAGAAAAAGTTGGGGAAGATTGATAAAGCTATTGAGTATGGGAGAGATGTAGAAAAAAGGTGGGATAAACAGATGATCTTGTTATTGATAATCTAATGATTTGTGCTTCAACTAATGTGATTTGCTTTGCAGGGACATTGAGCATGTTGCAATGGACCACTTAATTGAGACGGCTTACAGGAGACGTTTGGTACTTCTCAGATCCATTGTGAATTTGTTGTTTCTAATTATTTTCTTTGGAGCTTTGAGGCTTAGTTCTTTGCCATTTATCCTTTCATATGATTACCTTTTTTAAACCAAATTTCTACTTTTTACAAGTTTCTCTATGATAAAGTTGTTAGAGTCGCCCATTTTGGTCATTTTTGAATTATGAGAAAAATGATGATATAGGGGTCGGTCTGAGGTCGAATTCTAAGATACAAGTGGGGAATGGAAGATCCATTGTTTTCTGGAATGATATCTGGGTAAATAATTCTACCTTAAAAGATCAGTTCCCTAGGATCTTTGCCTTATCGACCAATAAATGGGGTAGAGCTGCGGAGTTTGGCAGTTATGTTAACGGTCGTTGGGTTTGGAATATTAATCTTAGGAGGAATTTATGTGACTGGGAATTGGACCAATGGATCTCCTTGATGTCACTGATTGATAACATTGATCTGAAGGATTCTGTTGATGATTTTCTGTCTTGGTCAGGGAAGGGTGATGGCATTTTCTCGGTTAAATCTTGTAGAGAAGCTCTATCGTGTAGTTCAGGGGGGACTTTTCCATGGAACAAGTGGGTTTGGTCTGGTTTGGCACCTCCAAAAGTCGAGACATTTCTATGGCAGGTATCTCACTTAAAGTTGGCTGTTAGAGTGGAATTGAAGAAAAGAGGCATTTCATTGGAGGGTGTACTATGCCCTCTTTGTCTTAAAGAGGATGAAACAATTCAACATCTTTTTTTACTTTGTCCTGTGGCTTGGGATTTGTGGAATAGGTTCGCTAGGATTTGGGAGCTGTCATTTGCTTTGCCTAATGATCCCAGGTCGTTATTAGCCTCTTGGTCCTCTCTACGACCATTTTCTACTATTTGGAATTTTATCCCGGGAGTGGTGTTGTGGTCGGTTTGGAAGGCGAGGAATTCAGTGGTGTTTGATAACGGGACTGTGGATAGTTCTTTGTTGTTCTTCATTTGCAGGTTCAGGCTGGCCAAATGGTTCTTAGCCAAATTTCCGAAGGTAAATTTTCAGGTGGATCTTTTAATTGGGGATCCTGTGTTGGCAGATAGGGTTTCAGTTAAGCCTCTCAACAAGCAGATGGGTCAGTGTTGGGTTCCACCTCCTCCTGACGTTTTTAAATTCAATGTAGATGGGGCGGTTACAAGAGATGGTCTGCAGGGTGGAATCGGTGGATTGTTGAAAGATTCTCATGGCTCTACTCTAATTTCCTTTTCTAATGCTACGGGACCAAGCCCTCCTGTGTATGCTGAATTGAAAGCTATTAAACAAGGCATTGATTTATTCCTTTCTTCTGAATGGGTCCTGAAGGGAAGATTAATTTTAGAGACTGATTGCAAAAAAGCAGTGGACTGGATTTCGAGGATTGATGCTACCCCGTCGTTCTTTTCGTCTCTAGTTGGGGAGATTGGTGCTTTAGTTTCTGTTAGAGATATTTTGGTTAGGCAGATTCCTAGGTCTTGTAATTGGGAGGCTGACAAATTAGCCAAGGAGGGGATTGGTTGATAGGTTTTAGTAGTCTTTTACTTTGGTGTTTTTTTTCTGGTGGTGTTTTGTTTTTTGTAATCTTATGTTAGTTGGGTTATTAATATAATGGGGTACTCTTTTCCTCCTTCGTCAGCTGCCTCTGTTCAAGAGGCAACTATGAGGGAGGTTTTTAATGAGACCTCCTATTCTTATCAAAAAAAAATATGGACAGACTGTCAAACATTTATTTGGTCGCTATATATTTAGGTTGATAATCTAGTTCTATGGTGACAGTGCTGCAGTTGTTATAGGGAATCTGTTCAATTTTTTGTAATGTCAGACACAGTACATAAGTAAGTTGAAGAGACTTAATATTGACTAGTACAATGCTAGTGTTCCAGGGGACAAGTCAGACTGGCTAAACTGAACTTGGAACTAGGGCCTATCTGGCTGGTTGCTTCATAATCCCCTGTGGTTAAAACCAAGAAAACTGGAAGAAACGTTTTCCCTGGTCTTTCTTTATTGTTTATGGCATTTAAATATTTAATACAATTACAATGATAACAGTTGCTTTCACTGATGTTGGTTTTTAGAAAATCAAACGAACTGACAGCTAAATTGGCTGAACTGTTTAACCCTTGACCCACTCTTGTAGACTAGTTCTTTTTTTGTATATTTTCTACCGTCTTCATGATTATGGAAATATTATGGCTCTAGGTTGTAAGAATCTAAGGCATTTTCTCCGGTTCATTTGCATTGCATGGAACTTTTTCTTTATAAAATTGAATTGCATGGAAACTTTTTCTTGCTATATAGTCAATTCGGTATTAGTCTGATATTTGGATATTTATTGGTGCGTTTTATAGATGCAGGCCTTTGACATACTTTATTGTTGATTTAGATGGGAATGGCTGTAACATCTCGTTTTATGGTGTTGAATGGTTTATCGTTTTGTATCAGAAGTGGTTTGGAGCAAGTTGTTTATTATAATTGATTTAATTTTACAAACAATTATTGCAGGCATGTCGTAGGAGTAATTCGTCAAAAAGTGCCGTTCGTAAGGTTTCAAAACAAGTTGCATTAGCTTTTGTCAAGCGAACTGTTGAGAGATGTCGAAAATTTGAACAGACGGGCAATAGTTGCTTTAGCGAACCTGCTTTGCAAGATATCATGTTTTCTGTACCTCCGTGCAGCAATGAAGAAAAATCTGTCGATTGCATTGGCTCCGGAACTGCTAGTAATATTTGTAATGAAACTTCCAACCACCAAGCGGAAGCCAGGGGCTCAGGTATCGCAAACTCTACCTTTTCTAATGGCATTCTTTTCCAATAATTTGGGATTTTATTATGTTTTGAGAGCATTATTCTCTCAATAATAAAAGAAAAAATGTTATCATGTCTTGTTTACCCTCGAGTCAAATGCTTGGATACTAACCTCATAACTTTCGAGCAGTTTATTCATGTTCATTTCACTATTGCCACAGGTGCTGTTTCTAGTACTTATGAGAGGAATGATTCGTCGGAGGCTCTTCCAGCCATCCAATCGTCTGAGCACGCTGTTTCCAAGTATGGGTCTATGTTGAACAAAGGGAGGAAGAGGGAAGTACTTATTGATGATGTTGTCGGTAGTGCTTCGTCTAGGGTAGCATCGACTCTTGATGGCAGTGTCGGAAGAGTAAACGGAAGGGAGCAAAGCAGAGAGAATTTAAGAAATACTAGTTCAAAGGACGAATGGCAAACGAAGGCAAAAGCCAAGCAAAAGAATAGTCATCTATCGAGTTCTGGAAATGGATTCAACGGAAGGCTTACAGAAACTTTGAAACCCACGGATAAGATTCATCAGAATTCAACCAAAAAAGCGGAGGAGCCAATGGATTTTGGAAACTTGCAACTAAACGAGTTGGATAGGATGGAAGAATTGGGTGTTCCGAATGAGCTTGGTGGTCCGCAAGACCTGAGTTCGTGGCTTAACTTCGATGAGGATGGCTTGCAAGACCATGATTCAATAGGTCTAGAGATCCCAATGGATGATCTCTCTGATTTGAAATTTGCATTCTAAATATTGCATTAAGCCAAGTTAGGTCAGTAATTCAGCAGCCCATCAGAACAGTGAAAGTGTAATTATGTTTCATTCTTCTGTATGTATAAAACCAATTATCCAACCGACCTTGGTCGGTCTATGTTTTTGCCTCCACCGAGGCTTGTTAAATATAGGAATTGTCACTATTGATATTCCTTTTTTTTTTTGGATTACGAATTAGATTTGAGTGTTAAGATTCAGAACAGGTATAGATGTTTATTACTCGATTTTTTATTATAAAGATGAGAATTTGAATATTAAAATTTGGATTAGAAAATAAAATAAAAAAGTATGTTAAAACATCATCCTACACACGCTTGCATGCAAACATTGGATGGGAAGAATATATAACATTATCTTTAAAAAGCCATTAAAGTAAAAGGACAAGTGTGGTCGACAATGGCAAACATTTCACACATTTGCATGTTGTTCTACAATATTTTCCAATAATATAAGGTTAAATTACACAAAATCATTTTAGTCAGAGATTTTGTGAAACAAGTTTAATTCTATTTCTGTTTTGATCTTCTTCTAATTTGGTTACCAACACATATTATCATCCAACTGATTAAAATGGTGAGAGAAAATAAAATACTAAATGTGAAACCATCCATCTCTCAATCATTACATCAATTGTGCATTTGATTCAGGATCGACAATACATGTATTATAATTGTCATCGAAAATTATGAAAAAAAATTGGGTTATTTTAGAATCCAAATACCTAAAACACTATTAAATTATGGCATGAAAAAATAATAAGTAAAAATACAAAATCATTTATCATAAATTAAAAGATTAAATTACTAAAGTAGTATTACTACCATGTATTGTTAATTTTGTTTTCAAAAATGAGTTTATATTAGTCGCGGATGTTGAAATTATTATAACATAAAAATATTTAAAGAGAATGAAAATAGGACTGAGTTAACACGCCATTATTGAAATTATGATGACATAATATAATTATGGGAGATTAATAAAAAACGAAACTAAATGTTAGTGGCTTGTTTAATTTATAATATCGATATATATATATATATATATATCATCAACGACTTTGGCCACTGCTCGATTAACTCAGAATTTAGGACGTTTATCTAATTTTTCTCAATTAAAATAAAACATGCCTCAACCGTTTGAATTAGTGTGGATATATGTAGGGGTGAGCAAAACTCGACTGAATTTGAAAAATCGATTTTTTTTACTCGACTCGAATGAACTTCAAGTTGTAATTTCATAAACTTGACTCGACTAAAAAAATTCAAGTTTAAACTTAGTTGTAAAATACAACTCGAATAGTAACTATAATAACTCAAAATTTTTAGTAATCAGTGGATTGATTTTTAAGTTTGAGTCGAGTATCTCGAATTTGTATGATATATGTATATCACATATGAAAAAATAGAAAAATATATATGTATTTTATATGGTTATAAAAAATCATTTATATTGGAATAAAATAATATCATAATATTATTAATATTTATGATTAAATTTAAAAAGAAACTAAAAAATTCGACTCGACTAAAAAAAATTTCAAGTCAACTTCGAGTTGTAAAATAGGACTCGTCAACTCGAATAACTCAAAATTTATCGCTTTTTTTATTTTGAGTTATTCGAGTCAACTCGAATTATCAATTTGGTTTTTCAAGTTTGAGTCGAATTGAAATTTGAAAATTTAAGTTACTCTAAAAGCCAAAAATTTGACTATCTATTTTGATATTTTTACGATTTAGTCCATGATTTCAATATTCCTTTAATTCCTCCTTCATTTAAGTCGTTTTTTTAACCAAATTTGAACTACATGCTCTTAAACCATCTTAGAATACATATGGACTTACAATTCCTCTTTTCGATAACATGTTTTCTACTTTTCAATTTAGTCCATCATTTTCTCATAGTTTCCTTATTTTTTTTCCAATTTATCCTTTATTTTAAGTCTGTTGCCAAATTTGAACCACATGCTCATATACCATTATAGAATACCTATGTAACTTCAATTTTTTTTTTACTAAAAGTCTCTTTTATTTAGACCCTTAACATTACATTTTACTTAATTTGGTCTTTTGACTACAATTGTTTGTAAATTCTTTCTTCCATCAATTCCTTGACTCTTTTATACTCTCATCAAGTGGTGGGGAACTGACAGTAAAGAGTATAATTCAAGCGTTGAGTTAATCATATATATATTTTTATCATAACCCAGTGAGCCATATCGTTCATGATCTTTTGTGTAACCAACTGTTGCGGCTGCCACTGTCGGTGCTACAACAACCCTAAAGCCATTCTTTATAGACTTAATATGTATCGAAGATAATATGATTTAGGTTGCATGCACGGAAAATAAGGAAGGAAAGTGGCAGTGGCTATGGTGATTATGGTTAATGAAGAGAGAGGAGAGGAAAAGTTAAGAGAATGAAGAAGATACCAGAAATATAATTTTAATATAAAAAGAAATAAATAATTAAAAATTAAGCTTAAATTTAATGATGATTAAGAGAAAAAATTAATTGGTTGGTTCTATATCTTACATGTCGAGAAGAATTCATAAAATAATTTCTAGTGAAGATATAACAGAACAACACAACAATAATGTCTTCAATTCATTTCAATATGACAAAATTACTTCATAATATGATTTAATATTGCATTTTTTTCTTATTTGGCTTCGTCTATTTTATAATCTCTCGAACTCATAAATCATATGTTATTATGTATTTAAACACATTCAAGTTTACAACCTCAAGAATGTCTCATTAAAAATTTTCTCATCCTATTTCATTGATGAAGTACGAGACATCTACTCGATATACGTATGTATATGTATGTTTATGTATACACGAGGCATCTCCTCGATATGCGTATGTATGTGTGTGTTTATGTATATACCCAAGCAGATTTGAATGGACTGGTATCATTTTGTTTAAATCGGCGTCTTTTAGAATTCAACAAAATTCAAAATGAGATTAATTACATTAGTTTTAGATTGTATGAAAGATACGATAATTTTAATGTGTTTTATGAATTCAGACTGATTCAAGCTTTACATATATATTTGATTATTTTATGAAATTGTGTTTAGAGGAATTTAACAATTTAGATTGTTTCAACTTTGACTAGAGTGTTTAATGAGTTGAACAGTTCGTGAGTAAGTCGAACTCTATTTGGTTAAAACTCGATAAAAGCTCGATTCGGGTTCACTCGACTCGAGATCTTAACGAATTAAGTCGAACAAAGTCCAACTTGAATCGATAAGTTTACGAACAACTCGTTAATTCTTTTTATAACTTTTTAGTAGTTATCTTAAAAATTATTTCATTAAAAAATTACTAATTTACTAATAGATAATAAAAAATTAGTAATCTATTAATTTTTTAATTAAATAATTAAAAATATTAAATTACTAGTTATTATTTTACTGCTCCAAAAAGTTAAACCCTAATTGTTTTTTAATGTATTTATGGATTATTATTTTAGTGTTTAGATTTTGAATTTGTTTCTTATACTCTTTTGATAATTTTTTGGTTAAATTTATTAATTTATGTTTATATTAAATTCTATATAATATTAATAGATTTACTTGCAGTTTAAAAAATAAAAAAAAATAGTGAGCTTAACGAACAAAGAGGCAAGCAATAAGCTTAATAAACTTAACGAGCAACGACTCGAGCAATAAATTTTCTTAACGAGAACAAGTAGAGCAATAAATTTTCTTTACAAGCACGAATCAAGCAAAATTTTAACGAGTTTAACAAGGAACGAGTCAAGTCGAGCAACAAATTTTTTTAACACGTACAACCTAAATACTATCCAACTCGAGATCGACTCATTCAATAAGGATCCTAACTATGACGGTTCTTTGAAGATAATTTCAATGAAAGAGAAAACTAGCTCCAAGGTGTAATTAATTTGATTTTTTTTTTCATTTACAAGGATAAACTTAATAATAAAAGGAAAAGAAAAGTCCCGACATACCCTCTAACTTAAGGGTAATTATGCTCTAGGGTCCTACAAAAAATGTTAATATTATGTTTACATTTTTGGTAAAACGTTATTTAAAATATTAATTTTTTTCTACCGAAAATTTTAATATCGCTACCTAATTTTTTAATAGAAAAAAATAACATTTTAAGTAGCGCCCAATATTAACATTTCCGGTAAAAAAATAATAATTTAGATAACGCTTTACCAGAAATGTTAAACATTTTAGTTAGCACCTAATATTAACATTTCTAGTAAAAAAATAATATTTTAAGTAACGTTTTACTAGAAATGTTAAAAAATATTAATATTTTCAATAAGTCTTTCCTTATTTGTATATTAAAATTGTCGTACCTTAGATATCCCTAACTTAAGTAGCTTCGTCAAATCCAATGTATAATATTATATTGCATAGCAGATTCATCGTGGGAAATACTACATGATTTTGTGAATGTTTATCAAAAGTTTGAGAAATGATTCTGTGGGGTTGAACCATTTGCAAGTCTGTTGCTGTTTGACACGAATGATCATCACTCATCATGCTCCTACATCAACCCAATTTCTATCATTAATAATTACAATAACACACAAAAGGAAGAGCCAGTGAGTAGAAACTTACGTATATTTTTCCATTAGGGTTTCTTTATTTTAATGTAATAAAAGTTGAATAGATCTTACTCTCGAGGACGGGACGCACAAAGGGAATTAAGTGCTCGTAAACGCCCATAGTACTCTCCGATCATCAGAAAACACCGGGCCGCCTGTCGAACCATCAGTATCCGAGACAACCGGTGAAGGGTTTGCTGTCTTAAATTGTCACCCTACATCACAATTACAACTTTGATAACTAAGTGGGAAAAGGAAAAAAATTCAGAAAGTTTGATATATACACATAAATAAACGCACCACTTTACGTTGGGGACAACTTCTATAATTTTTAGGAGTATTGAAATAAATTATTAACAAAAAAAAAAAATACATAAAATATATTAAAATTTAAAATTTTCAAGACACGATCCTCTCATCACCGTGAACTCTCTCGGTCCATATCTATGTATATATTTCAAAAGATTAAAGTTTATTTTAACATTTTGTGTGTGTATATATATTTGATTTACTATAAATAATCACTTTCCATTAGTTTGAAGCTAGGGTTTTTTTA